CCACAGGACCTCAGTGGCTCAGTGCTGTGGTGGAGAAGATCCTGGTGCCCTGCTCACCTCTGGCATACCAGAGCACACAGTCAGAGCCTGCCAGAGCACACCTTCCACTGGGAGAGGCAAGCAAGTGACGGGGGGAGCACTGAGACCTAGAGGGAGCACAGGATGACATTTTAAGGTCTCTCACCTACCCAAGCATTAATGTGCTTTGGGAGAGATGGGGAATGAGGGCTTCTGCCCACGCACAAGTTGTTTGCTTTCAATGTTGCCCCTCTAAGACATCACTTAATATGACATTAATTAGTGTTTGCAAAGTGCTTTGAACATGAAAAGGGCTGTGTAAGTGCTGAATATTAGTATTAATTATTATGGCATGGAGGCTGGCCCTGTCTGAGGAGCATTCCCCATACCTAATTTCAGGCTGGTGCTGTTTCCCTGCCTCTCCTACTCTGTTGCCTCATCCACAAAAGCCAGATAGAGAAGGGCAGAAGCATGTGTACAGTACGAGGAAGGAACCCCTCGTGGAGTGGTGCAGGAGGGCTGAGCCATACACTCCCTTCACTCCAGGTAGGACACTGTGTGGGAAATGTAACCACATCTCTGCACTGCCCCCCTGTCACGAGGGAGGATGAGCGAGCACCCTCTTGACCCAGGCTCTGCAACAGGCAAGGATTGGAAACATTACAGGAAGGATGGAGAAGATGCAGGGGGATTCCTCCAGCTCATCCTACCCATGCCTGAGTGGAAGCATCCAGCACTGGTGGAGGTTTCAGACCCAGGCAAGGGGATGAGGAGGGGGGTGAGAAGGTTTTGGAGTCTCTGAGCTAGATGCGGTAGGAGGGTGGCTGCATCCTAGACGTGCACGTGGCAGGGCTGGGAGCTCCCTGATGTCCCCCAGACAGGCACCTGGCCTGCTTTGCTGCCTCTCCCCTCCTTGTGCCCTCCTTCTTGGTGAGGTTGCTCATGGGAAGGGTCCCTGGAGGAGGAGCAGAAGTGGGTCGTTGGGTTGCTCCAATTACCTTGGCAGTGAAGTGTCCTGCCAGCGGGCCCATGAAATGTACAGGGCAAGTGTTAGGTGCTACCAGGGGCCCAGAGAAGAACGGTGAACTGGGGGAGGTTGTCCTGGAGAGGTCCAGGGAGGGCCTGAGTGGGGACCCACATGTGCTGGCCAGTGGATACAGATGCTGAGCACCAGTATCAACCTGTGTGAGGTGCATTGGGTGGTGGGTAGGACCGTGGTGCTGTGATTGCACTGCAACACATCAGTGTCTGTTGGGACACCTGGAGCCACATGTGCCTTTGCCCTGCTGCCCCCCTGCTGCTGACAAATTAACTCCCCTGGTCCCACCTGCTCATTCAGCCTGTGGTCTTACTTGCCTACCATGGGTCACACCCTGGCCACACTTCAGAGAAGCTTTGTCACTCAGGTGGCTGTCCTTCTGTGTCACCCCTCTGAGTTAGTGGTCACAGAGTCTAATGGGGATTCCGGTCTGCTTCAGAAGGCCACGGAGGGTCTCATGCAAGTGAGAGCCCAGCACAGGGTGAGGGGATCTCAGCTGGTTGGTGGCATCCCTGGGGCTGATGGTGAGCAAGAGGTGAGGGGACATGCCAGGAACCTAGTCCCTTTTGTGGGGATCTCACCTCCCTGTGCTGCTGCCACCTCACCCTTTTCTGGGTCTGCACCTCCAACTGTAAGTAATCCCCCTGCTCCGGGCTCCTGCGCTGAGCATTTCTACCAGACAGCCACTTCCCAGCTACTGAGGACATTGCCAGAAATCCCATGAATGGCTGAACAAAACCTCAAAACAACGCTAGGCTCACTTTCTTTTTCCCTTTTGAGCCCTCCAGCCTGTGTGAATTCTCAGCTTGCCGGTAATCCTTGGCTTGCTGCCATAGATCCACTGTCTTCCAGTGGGAGTTGGGGCATCAACCCCTGTGGTATCTCCACCCTGAGAAGAATGGAACAAGAGGGAAGATACTGGAAGCTAAACAGGGGCTGGAGCAGATGTTTTGGAGGGCAGCAGGGAAAGACCACATGTGTGACTTGAGTTTACCCACACTTACTTCAAAAAAAGTTGTGGCAAAGCCCTCTCCTCTTGCTTTGTCCGTTCTCCTTGTATCTTGAAGGCCATCTTGAAGCAAGACTATCCACTGAATTGCCAATGAGGACAAAATTATCCACAATAGTTGATTTTCTTGCTTGGTTTTGAAGTACTCTTCTGGCACAGTGAGACAATAGATGCCCCCAATAAATCCACATAAACAAGGACCAAGTTATAAAAAAAAAAATCTTTATTTCATGTACCAGGATTTTTTTTTTTGTTATTTTCTCTTTTTAAAATTTTTTTTCTTTTTAACAGTCTGAAAAAAACCACGAGATAAAGAAAATGGAGGTTGGTTTCTTGTACTGGTTTGAGCTGGACATGAGCAACATCCCGGGGAAAAATCTTCCCCTCCAGCTCTTACCTCCTGCACACGCTCTTCCGGCGCACTCCCTCACTCTCTCTTTCCCATCTGGCCCTGGGGGCGTACTCAGCCCTGTGAATGCTCCCCAGCTCCATTCAGTGTTGGGTGGGTGAGGGTCGCTGGGGATGGAAACCCCAACACTGCCTTCCCTCTACATTGGGTTCTGGGGAACTGGCTTTAATTTATTCCACAGGGGGCATTGGAGGGGGTGGGATGTCCCCTCTGAGTCTTTTTTAAAGGATTGGAGGGCCATGGGGGGGGATGTCAGTGGTGCTGGGGGGGGTCTGAACACCCAGCCAAGGGGCTCCCATCCAGCTCTTGCCCTATGATGCTGTTTTTGGGGGTGATCCTGTCCTGCTGCTGCCCCCTGCCATAGCCCAGAGCAGGGAAGGGGAGTTAAAGTATCAGTGGGTCGGTGGGAAGCAGGGAAGATCTGGCTGCTTTAAAGCAGAAACCCCACTGGGATCTGAAGTGAGGACTGTGCAGCTCCTAAAACTGGAGCAGCAGGAATGGGGACGGAAAAAAAGTCGAAAAGTGGGTCTGAGTTGCTGAAGGGCTTGGTGGACCCATCCTGCAATCCCTTGGCTTTGTGCCTGCCCAGAGCACTGCCACTTTTGGGTAGCAGCCCTAAAGGGGGCCTGTCCTTACTCTGGGCTGGCCAGTGTCTCAGGGGGTGTCACAGGGGTGACACCGCTCTCCCCTGCTGCCACCTCCCCTCCTGCCTCTGTCAGCAGCGACTATTGTGGGGGGAGCTGGATTAAAAGCTGGCACCCCTGTGCCCTGTTCCCCCATCATGGCAGGGACAGAGGGGGCGGCAGCCAGGCCAAAGATCCCAGGGCAGAATGGTGGGGACCCAGTTTGCCTTGCTGCTGTGGGGGAGACCATGGCAGCCATGGACCATCAGGAGAGGGGTGGGGAGAACGACAAAACTCAGCAGGCATGGAAACACCCGATGGCTCCGCACCTCTCCCTGGCATGGAGGCTGGGACGTGGGGGGCTCAGGCCCGGAGCAGGGCACTCTCTGGGATGGGGACTGGGAGGCTACATGAATCAAGGCCAAGCAGTCTGCAGCTGACATTGGCTCAGGGTCGGCTGGCTTTGCCCAGGGGAGGACAGGAGCTATTTCAGGGGTCTGCTGGGTGGGCCTCACCACATCCCCACATGGCTGCAGCCCCACTGGTGGGACGTAAGGGGGATCTGGAAAGATTTGGGCAGTGCATGGCCACCCTGGGGAGCCTCTGGAGCATTCACAGGAGAGCACGTGCACACCAGGGCACAAGTGTGTGAGCATGGGCACACATGTGTGTGCGTGCTGCCCCCCCCCGCGCAGCATCCCATTGTGTCCCCCCAGCATCAACATCCTGAAGGGATGAGAGCCCTGATTCCCATCCACCAGCCCCCCCCTCTACCTGTGCCTCCCACACAGCTCCCCATTGCCTCTTTTCCTTTTTTTTTTCACAGTTTAAAGCTGAAGAAAACAAAAATGAAAAGAAAAAATACTATCTGTTCTTCTTGCAAGTAAATCCACTTATTATATTTACATTTATTTATAGCCGTTTTTTCATTAAAAAAATTGCCACTTTTTTTAAGAAACCTTTTTTGTCCTTTTTTTTTTTTTTGTCTCTGTGTATGTCTTTATTTACTGTGTCTGTTTGCTTTTTGCACTGTCACCATTGACCCCGGGGTCCCCAGGGCTGGGGAAGTGGAGACCCCCCTGGGGACACTGCGGAAGGGTGACTCAGCATCAGCTCCTGCACTCCCTAGGGGCAGGAATCACTCTAAACCCCTACAGACCTGTGGAGGACAAGCAGATTCCCCACGGATCCCAGGGGAATGGATTGGATCCCCATGGATCTTGGGGGGGCAGAGTGAGTCATGGTTGATTCTGGCATCCAGGATCCTCCATAACTGGCCCAAGGACACCGAAGTCGTCGATGGCTGAGCCCTATGCTCTGTCCCCCAAGGAGCCTGTGATGGGTTAAGGGTAAGTGGGAAACAAACGATAAAATTAAAGAATAAAACCCCCCAAAATTCAAAAAGCTGCCTCCTCCTCCTCTTCCTCCCACTTGATTTATTGTCATTTGTTATTTCTTGGTTCCCTTTTATTTTTTTAATCTGTTTTTATTAAATGTTAAAATAATGGTACATGGGAAATCATGCATTTTCTTTTAAATTTATTTCTATTTTTTAAATCTCTTTCTCTCAGTTTTAAAGTTTTTCTTTTTTTTCCTTTTTTCTTTTGCTTTTTTTTTAAGAATTTTTTTCACTGTTGTCTCTTTCCTCATGTTTCCTTTTCATTTGTCTGTTTTTTTTGTTCACTCGCTTGTTTGTCTGCTTGTTCGTTCGTTGTTTTTTTTTTATTCTTTTTTTTGTCAGTTTTTTGTTTGCTTTTGTTGTTTTTTTTTCTGGATTTTTTTTTTTTTTTTTTTTGCATTGGGAAGGTCCCCACCCCACCAAGGGGCGCTTCCACCTCCTCCTTCCCACCCACCTGCTGCCCCCTGCCCCTTTCCACCCTCCCCACCCTGCAGCCCACCCCATCTCCTCCTGCCCATTCCTGCCCCATTTTCAGCTCCTGGCGACGGCTTCATACCGGGGTGGTCCGGCGGTTGGCTGTGTTGGTGTGGATAGAGTCCTTGTTCTCTTTCTGGATACAGTTGTGAACCTGGAGGAAACTGTTATCCCTGTCAGAGTTGTAGGTGGCGGTGGGGGTGGTGCTTGCCTTCAGCGGGTCCCTGGTGAGGGTATACATCGAGATCTCTGTTGATGGGAGGGTGTTGAACCCTTTGATCCCGACGGGAGAGGCATCCCTGGAGTGTGAAGGCTCAGTGGAGCGGGAGCTGGAGCGACTGCGTCTCTGATAGCGGTACCGGTAGCTGGGGATGCGGGTGATGGCGGAGGACTGGAGGTAGTCCGTGGCACGAGCATTGGCGCGCAGCTGTTTGTGCCGGTCTATGAACATGTGGACAGCCAGCACTCCCACCATCTCGGCTATAATGAAGGACAGGGCCCCAAAATAGAAGGACCAGCCGTAGGAGTAGCTGTTCTTCTTGGAGTCACTCTTAGAGGGGTCTCCAGCGTTGGCTGATATGTATACAATGATGCCAATTATATTACTCAAACCTGCAGGGGAGAGAGAATGAGATGCCAGGAGGGTCACACAGGGCAGTGGCGGAGGCATCGGGTTGAATCCCTGCTCCTGAGAGGCAGGGATGGGAGGCGCCCCAGTCACCCATCCCCTCCCAGGGGGCAGCTTTCCTTGGGAAAGTCAGGTAAAACTCTCCTCATGTGCCTGCCGCATCCCTGGACTGCACTCCCGGCTGGTCCCTGAGAGATGTCAGATGTAGGGAAACACACCCTCCATCAGCTCCCAAGCAGTTGGAAAGCCCCTGCCTGCAGGGCACTGCTGCCTGCCTCTGCTAGACAAGCAGGGTGGGTGGCGAGGCATCCTTGGGAGGCTGCTTTCACCCTGAATAAGGCTCATCAGGGCTGGGAAATACACACACTTCTGCCTAGGCAACTGTACTCCGGCGGATACCCCAGCTAGGCAGCCCCCCATTCCCTGGAGCCCACCTCTGGGGCATTCAGCCTGTGCATCCCTTTACCTGCAGACACGAAGAAGATGCCGGCACTAAGGATGATGTTGTGTCGGGTTTTGTAGAACTCGCTGGCTGCAATGCAGAGTCCACCCATGAAAAGCAGAATCACACTCAGGATCGGGAAAATACTAGAGGCTCTAACAGCCCCTGCAGAGGAGAGAGGGAGGAGGGGAGGGGCAGAAAGAACAGCAAGTACGTTTTGTGAGTGGGGGTGAAGAGGAGAAACAGAGGGTAATGTGCGGTAGAGGAGTAATTTAAGGAGAGATGAAGGCATTGAGGGAGGGAGGGAGAGAGAAACAAAGTGTGTCAGAAAAAGAGAGTGGTCCACAGCGACTTTCCCCTGCCCCGGCCACTGCTGCTGCTGTGAAGCCAGTGGCCTGGCACGGGGAGGCAGAGGGGGCTGTGAGACTGGTGGCTGAGCTGGGAGCCCAACTGTGCTGTCTGTTCCCCTTCACACTGTCTTTTCCTCTGCTTTTGAGGGGACTGGAGGGGAAGCCCAGGCACCATTCAGCTTCTATTCCTGCGGGGTGCTGCTGCTCGAGCCTGCTCTTCAAAGAACAGCAACCCAAATGCTTCCTACGGAGCTGCTCAATCTCGAATCCTCCTGAAAGGGCATGAGCATCTCAAGGAGAGGTTTTTTTTCAGTACTGAGGAGCTCCTGGTGCTGTACACTGCTCTGCAGCTGCAGAGAGGACTGAAAAGCGAAAGTCCCAGCCCTGTGCACTGAAACGCGAGGCTTATCCTAGTGATTAAATGACTGGGATCCTTCCAGAGGGCAGTGATGGGTTTGGATGTGCCAGCTCCCACACACGCACACTCTCCATCGGTCGATACGGGAAGAGCTCAGCCAGCAGAGGGCAATGGCATAGATGCATGTATATTCTCATATGTGCATGCAAAACATACCCCAAAGCTTCTGGGGGGCCTCACTCATATTCACGCAGTGAAAGGCCAGGACTGTGTGTGCGCACACCCACGCACACATGCACACATGCACACACTGCTCATGGGCAGTTCGGGGGGAGCCAACGGTCTGCTTGTGTTGTGAATATTTGTGTTTTTTTTTTAACTAGGAAGGCCTTCTCTCCTCCCTTCACAAGAGAAAATAAGCTGTTAAAGTGTGAAATGAAGCCTTGCTTGATAAAGGAATGTATCAGACGGGCTGGTGCAATTCTGCTTGTGGAGCAAAGATCTGTAAAGGGGGATGAAAGCTAATCCTTCCTTGCCTGCAAGAATGAACCCTACTGAAGCAAACACAGGACTTTTTCCTAAGGGGTCAGTGACCATGCTTCAAAGACTCTGTTGGCTGTGGATCCTACCAGGCTCTTTGAGGGGGGCCTAGCCCACTCCCTGTGCATGGGGAATGCAGAAGGCAGGGACAAACCTCTCTTGTCTGGCTGTGTGTCAGGGAACAGGATAGCAGAAATAACTATTTTAACAGCTTCTGGAATGTAAGGTGGGATTTGACAATGGGAAGCTTAAATGGCAGGAAGCTAACATCAAGCCGACACCCACTGTTCAGAGGGTTTCTAGAGGATTGGTTGCTCAGTCCTGCAGCCTGGTCCTGACTACGTCAGTTTCATCTGTCTTAATTCTAGAATTCACCCTTGTTGAGAGAACACAAGGTTGCCGACTGACATGGGGAGCTGCGGGTGTTATATGACAGGGGAGAACAGAAGCCTTACTCAGCCCCTCAGGAGAGGGGCCAGTAAGAGAGGGGTAGAATCTCCTCCAGTCTTCCTGGGTCCAGAGCCTGTAGCCTAAAGAGAAGGGGACGGTGTTCGTATGGTCTCTTACATCATCTGTGTCTTCTAGCGAAGAAATGCAGAGATGCTTCTGCTTCCTCTCTGACAACAGGCATTTGATTTCAAAAAGCCCAAGACACTTTATGTGGATGGCTGGCAGAAGTAAAGTCTAAGCCCTTCTAGCCAGGCCATGGACACTGCCCCATAATTGTCCTTGTCCCCTGAATGAGGGAACTGCCTAGTCCGATATTGTTCCTGCCAGTGCCACCAGGCATCGCCCATGCAGAGCACCCAGGGACTTTGGTTTGGCAGAAGTTCTGGGAAGAAGCTGTTCAGTGGGGTCCTTCTCCAAGCACGTCTAAGCCAGAAGAAATCCCACTTCCCTCAGGAATGACCCAAGTAGTCCTTTATTGACTTGCCAAATCCCTCTTTGAACCTGGTTCTTTCTGAAAGAGGGCTCTACCCTGGGGACAATGTCAGGTCCTGATGCTGGGCCAGTTTTTGTCTTCAGATCTTGTTCTCTCCGAGGGAACAGACCCATCCTTCTTGAGATGTTTGGCCCCTTCCCCCAGCTCTTTTTTTCTGAAGTGCAGCTGATGCTGCAAGCACCTTCCTCGCTCCCAAACAGCTCTGCAAGGGCTGGTTTGCCCCCGGAGGCAGCCTGCACAGTCGCTGTGCCAAACTGGATCAAACGCCTGTCTTCAGCTCTGCCGTTCAGGGGCCGTGCAGCAATTAAGAGACCAGTGCTGCAGAAAGGCAGCTGAAAGAAGCAATCTCCCTGTGTTATTTACAGTTTACAGTGGATGGAGAACTGTTTGAGAAACCAAGAGGAAGCAGCATAAGATCTGCCTCTTTTCACATACAAATGAGCCTCACAGATCCTAAATTATCTCTCTCCTCCCTGCCGCAGGGCTGGGTCTCCACATCTGGCTTGGAGCACGCCCAGATGACAAGGAGCTATTCTGAAAGACTCCTGGTCTTTGGAAGCCTTTGATGCTTAACCTTGAGAGGTCAAAAACACTTATCTCAGATTTCTGAAGAAAGAAGTTCTCATGATGTCAAAAGATGCTGGGCTTGTGAAGAGAGGGCAGGATAGCAAGGTGGGAGGAGGAGTGTTCCCTGTTCAGCTGCACTAAAGGAAGAGTAAGCTCCTGCCTCTGGGGTGGGTGGAAATGCTGGTTGGGGAGGGCAACCAGGGAGGGCAATATATGATGTGGATCTGCTCTGCTAGTCAGGATGCCGCTGTGCAAAGCAATGTGAGATTCCCTCACTCATAGGCTGGACTTGGAGCTCAGGCAACATTTCCTTACAGACATGCCATATGCCTGGGATATAGCACCTCTCTCAAGGGCTCTGGGTGAGCACCAGGTCTTTTCTTCAAAGGGCTCTGACTGTCCTTATTCCTACTCCTTGCTCCCATCACTAAAATCTCTTAAACCAGCAAAGATCAGATCTGCAGCCTCTATAGGGAAGTGGTATTTGGTGAAAAGTGGAGACAGCAATAGGTGCTCCTCAGACACAACCCAGCCAATTTGTTCAGTCTGATGCCACTGGAGTATCAGATAAGAAAATATAAACTTTCTCTGCTTTAGGACACGCACACTCACACACACATTGGCCCCGCTAGCCCAGTCTGACCTTATGCCCACTCAGCAGCTTTTCAATGGATTTGAATTCAGACTTTGAATTTATATCACAATTAATTGCTGTTAATTAAAAAAAGCCACGGATCGTTACTCTGAGTTTGAAACTTGCACTGTCTCATGGGCAGGACCCAGGGAGGTGAGAGTGGAGCCATTTTTAGTGGGTGAAAAGGCTCTGGGGTCACCTCCTCTGTCCTGGTGAGCCTCACAGGTCCCGGTGTCTCCACCACCCTATCTTTAGAAAACAAAAGGCACCCGACGCTAGCACCTATGAGCCATGGCAAGAAGAGCCTGCGGACTTACGGAGGAAATATTCTGCTGTATCGGCTTCATAATCTGCATCCTCAGGGAAGTGATCGATTTGCTTACACAGACCTTTAAAATTCCCTAGGGAACAAGAAAAAAAAAGAACAAATGAGAACACCAAAGCCTGCCTTGCAGGAACAGCTGCCCTCTCCATCACCCTTTGTGCCCACCCTGCCTTCCTTCCAGGAAGCATACCCACTCGTGTGTGGATGCCCATTAAAAGCCCAGGTCCTCTCCTTGCACACTCACACATATATCTCCTTATTTACACAGGAATATGGGGTTTGCTGTCTGGATCCAGCCTGATGCCCACCTAGTCCAGCACCCCCTTGCCTGATGGAGAGAGCACCAGAAGCTCTGTGACTCCTGCTGCAGATAGGCAGGAGAGCACTGCCCACCTCTGAGGGAGGTGGGACAGGAAAAGGAGCCAGAGTCTGAGTCATACTGCAAAGTACAAGTGTCAGGGTCCCCTCCCTCAGCATTGACTGGTGTAACTGTGGGTGTTTCTGTTTCACCTGGAGTGGCCTCAGTAGATTCCAGCAGTGCTGTGTACATCAGGGTGATCTGTTTTGGGTACAAAAGTGTTTGTTTCTTTCAGCTGTGACTTTGCTGCCTTTTCACGTGGTGGGCAGCATACGTCTCTTTGTTCCAGTGTGGTGGGGGAACAAAAGTTCTTAATCTACTTTCTCCATATGTATGTGTACCTTTGCCAGGCCTCCTCTTGTTACCTGTCACAGACAAAGGCTACAAGAAGCTTGGTGCGAGTGTACATATGCAGCTCAGCAGCAAAACATCCTTTGCATTGGGGGAGCAAAATCTTCCACCAGAAGTGGGGTAAACTGGACTGGACACACTCATTTCCATCAGGCTGGTGTATGTACAGGGCCTTCTGCTAGCTTTAGTCATGGGGCACCCTTTTTCACACACTCCACGGCCAATAAAGCCATTCCAGCAGGAAGCCAGTGACATCTTCCAAGTCTTTTGCTATCTGGGATGTCTACCAGATTCTTACTTTCATATTCGTGTCTCCTCTTGACATCAGGTATACCACTCCAGAGAGGTACTCCTCAAGCCACATCGTAATTTTCATCATGACCACTGCTTGGTTAGTGTCTCAAACGATCAGGTTGTCCATGCATGTACGGGAGTGACCACATGAAAGGCAATTTCAGTATACTTCCTGGGGTTCCCCCAAACTTTTTCTTCTACCTTCTATTCCATTTCCCTCTAGACACTTGCGCTGACTGGCCATTAACACAGAACTGATAGACACATTCTGTTCAGAAAGGAGAAATATGGTGTCTGCATGATGTGCAGATCCCATGGGCCTCCTCACCAGAGGTCAACTACCAAAGTAGCTCAGGCTGATTGATCCCTCAGCAGAAGCATTTGGAGCCTGAGTCTGGAGAATGGCAAATGCTGTGGCAACCTGGGAAAGCCTCCTGCTGCCCTGATCCTGAGCCCAACTGCTGAACCAGCTGGGTGTGTGCAGGGTGAGGGGAGAGTGAAGCCACCACATTTGTGATTGTTGCCTCTGGGAAGGGTTGCTGGTGAGCAACCCAGAGCTCTTCCACGCCAACCCTACCCAGGCTGAGACCTTCCCGCACTATGTCAGGTCCCCAGATCATACCTTGGAAGTTTTATTCCAGATGAATTTGGATGGTCTTTCAGCTATTTGTGAATGGCTGGAAGAAGGACCAAGCTCAAAGGATTTTCCCCGAGTTTCTTTTTGAGGCCAAGCCTGGCTGGATCAATGTTTGGGATGCTTTGGGAAGCAGTGCTGAGCAAATAGTTGTAGCAGGCAGATAGGCGGGTTCCTCTAGGTCTGCCTTCAGGTTTGATTTTTTCTGCTTGCAGTTGGCTTGTGTCTGATGCCTCCAAGGTACCTATCACCTTTAACTACTAATTCAAAGAGCTTCTGTGAAGAGGCTAGAGACAGCAGAGAGGAGTGTGTGTGTGCATTAAGAGGTAAGCAGTAGGAGAAGAAAGTAGGAACAGCGCCTCTCTGTGTACCTCTGACGTGCTATTCCAACATTGAATCTGTGAGTTATGAAATAAGGCTATTAATCACTCATCCTCAATCCAGTTATCTCATTCAAGAAGTGTCTGCTTCTCAACCATGGCTCTTCTGGAAGGAAAGTTTCATAGCCAAGCAGATTCCCTTGGCACACTCCCACCCTGCTACTTGCCCACTAAAATACCTGTGAGGCAGGCAGATACAGCATGAAGGGGGTCCTTTCCCTAGCTTGCCCCTGACTGCCTGGGGTCATCTGCCTGTGGCAGATGAGCAGTTCGTCATTCTAGTCCTTTGGCTGTGGTCACTGCTGTACAGTGCAGGTGAACACTAGCACTCTTTGGGGCATTGGGGAGGTCTCCAGCCTCAGATTTCAGCTCCTTGCCCAAACATTGAGTTCCTCCTGCCCATACATGCTGGGAGAGCAGGCAGAGCCTGCATGCATCTCCCAGGTGATGCTCCCAGCACACAGCTGGAGCTTCTTGATTGGAATTAGCCAGGGAGGGAAGAGGCAGTGAATCTGGAAACCCCCTCACTGTGTGCCATCCTTTCCCTGCTTCCTTTTTTCTCCCTCTTCCCTGCTCTGTTTCATGCTGAATTTGAGCCTGATTAATTCCTATGTAAAGAATCAAGCTGCTTGGAGAAGATGCTGCATCTTGTGCAGGTTGTCTTTTATATGGACTTGCGTGGGATAATTAGTTAGAGGCTCAGCTGCCTAGGCAGAGTGAGGGGACATGCAGACTCCTCAAAAATCTGCTCCCGGGGCTGAGTGTCTCAAAGGCTTTGCTGACCTGGCTCAGCAAGGTGCTTGGCCACTGGGGTGTTCAGCCTTGGCTTGTTTAAAATGCTATGACATTGTGGAGCTGCCCTTCTCCACAGGCTGATATGCTGTGCCAGGTTGATCCCTCTCCCTGGCTCAACCCTGCTGGGGTTCATGAAGGCAGTGTTGGTCCCACTTTAGCCCCTGCTTTGTCTGTGCTCAGCACAGAGCGCCGTGGCTCTGGATGCTATTTGCCTGTGTTACCACACCCTCTCCTCCAATGCCTCCTAGCTCCTCTGGGCGATGGATGGGGAACGGATGCAGAATTTAGGTCATTAATGCGCTAACTGGGAATATAAGAGAACAAGATTCAGTTTTTGCTCTGCCACAGGCATGCTGTTAAAACCACTTCTCTCTGCCTCAGAGTCCCACCCTGTAAAATGGGGGTGACAGCACTCCTCTGCCTTGTGCTGTACGGGGACGCGTTAAAGAGGGCATGGTGTGGGTGCGCTGGTGCCGGCGGCTGTGCGAGTGCACAGGGTAGGTGAGTGACGGATGGCAGCGGTTCAGAAACCCGCTCTGTGTGGGGAAGGCCTCCATGTCACTTCTTGCGCCAAGGTCACTCGGCAATTCTCTGACGGACATCTGTGGCCTGCTGAGATGGTGCAGCAGCCTCCCTGGCACCTGTGCTGGTAGAAGCAGGGAGGGGAGATGGAGCAGCTCAGCAGTGCTGCTGAGGTCTGACACAACAGCCTTTTGCTGTGCTGCACGTGTGGTTTGTGGAGGGAGGGTAAGAGCTGTATGCCACCCTACAGTCATTACTCCTGAACGCCTAAGCAAGAGCAAATCATTATTTGGGAGGGCATGTAGGGCTCTGAGAGCCCCCCAAGGGAGTAAGAGCAACATCTCCTCTGTACTTTGCCCTCCCCATTCTTCCCGACTCAAGCTATTTCATGCTGTGAACCTTGAAACAGGCATGTGTTGAGCTCTCTAGCTTCTCCCGTGCTCCTCTCTGAGAAACTTAAGCCACATGCTTCCACCTCCTCCCTGTAGCTCTCCCACTGCTGTTCAGGCTCTTCCCTCATCCTTTCTCATGCTCACCCACAAGATCTTCCTCCTGTTTCTCAGTCTCTCTCATTCATCACTGCCACTTCCCTCTCCTTCATGTATCAGTGTGGACAAACTCCGAACAGGGTTGTCCACACCGTGGTTTGGGGTGTGCAGGCTGCAAAGGAGGTGGGGAGGAGTACTGTCTTGTTTCAGGACAGAAAGGATGCCCAGGTCCATGGAAAATCCCCTGTAAGCAATCCCCATATCCCCTGGAGATTACTGGGAGTCTTTAGACAAGATCACCACCGTTTGCTTGTTGCCTTCCCAAACTTGGAAAACACTGTCTGGATGAGCTAGGATTGGTGCAACAGGCACCTCCCCAGTGCCTGGGCTAGGACAGGTCATTAAGAGCAGAGACAACCTACCATACCGTCAAGATGGACTGAATGTCTAAGATGCGCCTTCATCCTTTAGAGAGACCTCTTCCAGTGTGGCCAGGTCATTATTTGGGTACATGCTGCCTATCCAGGACAGCTGGCAGCCGTCAATTCTGCTGCAGCGAGACTCAGACCAAGTTACCCCCGATGAGAAGCTGGCTCAGTATTGTTGGTGATGTGGTTTATTTTTGTGCCACTTTGTGCAGCCCTGTCTCTTTCAGAAGTCTCGCTTGCCTGCAGAGTGCAATCCATTGCAAAATAGTAAGTTCCAAAGAATGAAAAGCTACTCCCTTCCTGCAGGGTAGGAACACTTTTAAATGGTCAGGACCATACATCTGAAAACTGGGAGCCAGAGGCAGAGGCAAAGACATCCAAAAGGAGAGAAGCAGACAAAGAGGGATAAGAACAGAAAGACCTGTTTTCCCAGAATGATTTGTGATATTTCCATTTATGGAGAAAAGCAATCCACTGAAAGCTTTTCTTCAGTATCACTCTCTAATTTAGCAGAGGTTTTGGCATGATAGCTTCTAGAGAAATAAATAAAGGGGACTGGATATAGCTGTTGCCTCTAAAAGCTGAGAAAGATGGCTTGGTGTTGGCCAAAGATTCAGTATCTGTTTCCATCACACACTCCCTTTATCATTTTAGGCAAGCCACTTAACCCCCCTCTTCTTTCACTTGAAATGGGAATAATGGTGTTTCCCTGCCTCAGGAAAATAGCCTGAGGATACTTATATTAAACATATGAAAGTGAACAGACACTGGATCATTTGGGCCAGATAATTGTCCCCACTGTCTAGGTCAAATGTAACATGCTGAT